AACCTTAATGATTCTATGATTCTATTAAGATATCCCTGCTTATTGCAGGGGGCTTGGACAAGAGACCTTTAAAGGTCCCTTCCAACCCGAACTATTCTATGATTTTTTTCTTCTCCATTAGGATGTCATAATCATGAGAAGCAGCCTGATACCTATCTAGAGCCACTAGTTTATTATAGATGAAAGCTAGTCCTAGTTTGATACTTAGGACTTCCAGAATTAGTAACAGGTTGCTTTTCTTCATTCTAGTATTTTACCTCCTTTCGCCCAGGTTCCCCTAATGCTAAATATTTTTTCTCTGTTTTCTTCTTACCCACTTTTGGGAGTAGGCTGGAAAACCAGTGCGACTCATGAATGGGGAGAGGTTGAAAAACAAACTCTGGCTGTATTTGAAATTTTTTTTGTAAAGTCTTTCCGCTGACAAAACTGAGGTATGATAGATAAATAGCACTGAATAGAATGGTTCTCTGTTAATTCTTGATTCTTTTATCTGGAGCTGGGACAAACTGTCAAAGTCATTCTTCTAGACCAATATAGCATATAGCTATAATTCTTTCTGTCTCTTAATTAATTTGTGAGTTGCTGACTGGATTGGGCAGGAGCAGAAACAAATGGCATCTCTTATTTGCTATAGAAAAGGTAAGGTGGTACTATAATTGTTCTGGGCAGCAGACATTTAGCTCAGTTTCAGCTGTAAACCATTATACTTCTTTAGGGGTTCTTTAAAAGGGAAGCTGCAAGTGTCCAACCCACTTCCTCTGTGATACATGTACTAAAACAAGGGACAAAAAAAGATGTTCGAGCCTAGGAACCTCTTAGAATACTCTGCCATATTGCTGCCAGAGCAAAAGCACTATTAAAACAGTACTGCCTTAAGTCTGATCCTGGAGGGCAGAAGATAAGACAATTGCTTGACTTTTCTTAGACAAGAAAACTGAATTAAACTGTTATATTCTTCTGTTCACAGAGATTTGAACCTTTATGTTTTCAGGGTAGGAGAAACTTGACATGGGGAAAAGCACCATGAAGCTTCTCTGTACTTCACTTTCTCTTACCATGATTTGCTGGCTAGCTGAAGGTACCCTGTCAAAAACAGATGCAAAGAAAGGTGCTACAAAAAAACTGGAAGAAAAGGTAAAAGCAATAACTGAAAAGCTTACCTTATCTAACATGTGCAATGAACTAATTGAACTTTGGTGAATGGACCCTCATTCTGTCAAAACAGTGTTAAAAGCAACCATGCATTTCCATTGAAGCTTATGCTCACAAATAAGACTACCTGAAACTTTCCTTCAGCTTTTATGAGTGTCACAAATGGTTCACTCCTTGAACCAGTATGATGTAGACTTCTGGAGCTTTATCCCCCATGCAAGCTGCGGAAGCAGAAGTTTTTGTCCCCTCTTGCATAGCTAAAGGAGACATACTTCCATCCCTTTGGAAAGGGGGGCAGGGAGCAGTAGTTTGGGCCAAGAGCGCTAGATCATTTACTGGTGGAAGGGAAGGTGTTCCAGCCTTGCCAGTGGGAAGGCTGTGTCCTGATAGAAGAGTTTGAAGAGCCTTCTAACCAGCAGTTCATTTGCAGGCAGAAATGATTCAAAGTCCCATAGCAATCTGAGCAAGCGGAGCCAGCATGCTGAAGTCTCTCTTGTTGAGCATGTTCTTGATTCCTGCCTGTTTTCTTTCAAAACTGCAAGAAGGCACAGCAGTGCAAGAGAAAGGGTGTGTATGGAGAGGAAGTATATTTACCAGTGCATATACTAAGTATATGTACTTAGTGTTGCGAAGCATGTTAGGTAAAAAAGTAGACATGTTCAAAATCCTCTCCCTTAAATTATAGGTATAGTTAATCGTACATTATGCAGATACATCTCTCATTGTTTGTACTACCTGCTTGCTCAGTGTCTACCAGGAAGAAAATCTAGTCTGCAGGTAGTGAGGATAATACAAAGTGTTAAGACAGGCCTTATCCCTGAAGTCCTTACGCTGAATCAGTAGATGGTTTCTGCGTACTCACCATGCACACTTTATTGGGCCTTCTCACTCTCTTTCTGTCTGCTAAAACTATTTGTGCTGTTTTAGTTGAAGCAGATCTTCCTTAAAGAAAGGTGTTGAGAACCTTGGCCTTTAGTAACCACAATGCAGCATACTCAGTCTAAAATATATCCAGTTTAAAAGTCGTCTTCAAATTCTTGGTTAAGAACTCCTGACTCCTAACCCCTTTTTGTCACATGCCAGAAAGCATTGACTAGAGAGCAGAGCACCATCAGCTGTGGTGAATGATGTTCTTTAATCTTATCACTTCCTGATTTTTTTTTTTGTTTATATGCTTTTTGCCTTGCAAACAAAGTAAGTTTAGTGATGATGACAAATAATTTCTGAGCACTTTCCTGTTTCAGTTTTAAATCAAACTCTCCATCATTTAGAAGGAGTGCTCAGAGTTTAATGATGTGATTTTTTTTTTTTTCTTTTTGAAGTCTGTTGCTATTGAAAGTGGCTGCTTCGTATTGCTGGTTCTAAAAACTGTCTTCTTCCCCCAGACGCTGCATTCTGATAAAAACGTGCAGGACCGAGGACTGGTAGTTGTGGATCCAAAGGCAAAGGATATTATACTGGAACACAGAAGTTATTGCTCCAAGAAGATGAAGGAAAGACATTTCTCGGGAGATGTTCTGGGATATATTACTCCCGTAAGTTAATAAAATTAATAAAATTGGTGCTTTGAATGAATATGCAGCAGACTGTGCTAATCTGCAGTCTTGCATCCCTGCTTTAAAAGCATTTTTATAATAATGGGAACTTCTAGTCAAATACAGTCAAAAAGCCAGAGGATTATTTGTCATCTGGCTTGGGATTCAGGTGGTCTCAAACCCTTGTTCTCCCATCCATCTCTTGGAGGATGTCTAGGTCATAATGTTTTTCTTCTCACTGGTAAAACAGAGATGATAGTATTCTCGTGTCCTTGATGAGCCATGTGAAGTTGCAGTAAAGTCAGAACAGGAGGACTACTAAGTATCCTCATACCATGCAGCTACCAACTTGAACCTTCTAAATAAACACTAAAATTTTTTTGCTGCTGTCAAACTGATCTCTTTTTCTATCCAGTTTTACTATTATAGCATCCTTTCTTGAATAATAAATGTTTCTTCCTTTTTAGAGGATGCTTTTCACTTCTTTCAGTCTTACACTGCTCAAAAGAGAAATAGGTGCCCTATAAATTTTCACCTCTCTCAAGTTCTCTTGAACTTGCAGAGTCTGTAAATTCAAAACTGTGTTGGAATCTACATGCAGATTCCTACAGTTCAGATGAATTTGCACAATTTGAAGACTGCCTTTCATGTAGCTATCAGAATTTCTAGAGTACTTTCTTACTTAAATAAAAATAATGTCCCGGAAGGTTTCCTCAGACTAACAAATGGGGATCTAGCAAATAATTACATTTGTGTTAAAGAATTTGGATTGGTCAAAAGTAAAGTGAACTGTATATCGTGCTTTTGAGCCTCTCACATTTTTTTTCCCCTTTCTTTTGCAAGTGGAACAGCCACGGCTATGACATTGCTAAAATATTTGGAAACAAATTTACACTAATCTCACCAGTCTGGTTACAAGTGAAAAGGAGAGGGAAGGAAAGGTTCCAGTTCACTGGGCTCCATGATGCTGATAAAGGTGTTATTTTCTTTTTCTTTGAATATGCATTGCAAGTAAGATCACTGGTCTTGTTGCTGACTAGGTAGCTCTGGCAATATATGCATGTGGGTTTTTCTGGGTCTGCCTCACGGTGAAGTACTTTCATCCATTCCACTTTTTCAGGAGTTTTCATCAGAGTGAACTTCTTTCTGTCCCCACCTGCTTCCACATGTGTACATAGTTTACCTGTCCAAAGAATAAGTAGAAGGATTGGCTCTTCCACTAGGCTGTCTACAAAGCCCCTCTTAAAAAAAGGAAGGGACAAAGGATCTGTACAGGCAGAAATAGTCTTTGGTGTTTGCACTGTGCAGTTGTTTACCTGTTGTGGTTTTTTTCCCTTTGCAAAAACCTTTGGGTGAATTTGTTTTGGGAATGGAAGATAAATTTAATCTGAAGATAATTTTTTCGTTCACTGTCAAGAAACTGACAGCAAGTTCAGATTTCAGCTAGTATGTTCTTAAATAATAACTAAGTAGTTTACAGTTTTGAACTTGATTGAATGTGGAATCTTATTTGAAACAGCTATAATTCTTACCATGTTGGTGCCTACTAACAAATTCTAGTGCAATGACTGCCAAGAGGAGTGGATGGGACACTTGAAAGTACCATCTTTTAAAAAAAAGAAAAAAAAAAATTTCCTCCCAGGTGATGCTTGGTGACTTACAGAAGTGTTGTTCTGAGTAGGCAGTAAGATAGTTTCCATGATGAGGCAGAACTGTAAGCAGCAGGGAGGGCTCGCGTAGGGACTATTGTAAGATTGTAGTAAATGCTAGTTATGCTGTGGTGGAGGTGAATACCTTCAAATTCTGTGCATCAGAGGATGTTTCGTCTGTGTTGGTTATGAACTAGTATCTGTGGCAGGAAGACAGATGTAATGAAACTATGCTACATTATTTGAAGAATGCTTGAAAATAGTTGTCATTGTCAACATCATTTATATTTTAACAGTTGTTCTCTTGATACTGTTTGACAGGCTGGATGAAAGATGTCAGAAAAAACTCCAAAAACATCAAAATAGGTGAGCCTCTGTTTTATGTTTGTTTGTTTTTTATCTTCTTTAACTGCTAGCAGAGCAAAAGAAGGCTTTGTTCCAGGTGTATATGGGAGAAAGGGAGGTTACCTTAGCGTAGTTGTATGAAGGAAGAAATCTGAGAAGAAAAATAAAACCAGTTAACTATGGATAACTAACTAACTGAAGTGTTAATCCTGTTGGTGCCCTAATGTTTTGCCTTAACTTCTTGTCTCTGGATAAACCCTGGGTCACAGGGCCCTCTCTGGAGAGGTACTTTGTATATAACACTACATGCTTACGTGGCGGAGCAGACTTCACGCTTGTTGCTCAGGAGTTCTGCTTAGTTAAAAAGAAAAAAAAAAAATCCAAATCCGAGTCAGTCAGACTTTCCTGCATGACAGTAGAAAAGTTCTCCTTTGGCTCTTCTCCGCTTGAACCTGGGAACTCAAGGCACGTGGCACGCTGTGTGTCTCTAGGGAAAATGGCAAACTTTGCTATAGAGATAATAGTGTGCTAGATTTCTTACATTTGACCGTAGCAAGAAATCTGTGGAACTGTGAAACCCTTCTTGATTCAGAAGGGAAACTTCAAATGTATTAGAAAAATTGGATGCTCAATCAGATATTTTAAATTACTTCAGCTGCCAGATGATAAAGCCTTGAAATAGAATCATAGAATCTTCTAAAATACTCTTTTACAGTCTTGGTAGTTAGAAAGGGCTTAGACATAGCTCTGTATGAGTTGTTGGCTTTTCCAGTGTGCGTGATTGTCGACTGTTCCAACAGCGGTTTTCCTGACTCTTGTCTGACTCTCTTTTTAATGTTTTGTGTTGTTAGAAAAAGAAATTATGCAAGCTCAAGTGCCCATGTTTTACAAAATAAAAATTTGTCATAGGGTCTTGAGATGCGTAGAAGAGTGAAGTAATATAAGGGCTGTGTACAAAAGAGTAAATTAGAGTTTGAGGTGAACTTTTCTATCATGTTCTTGTGGTAGAAGAGTAGCACAACTTGCGGAAAGATTGCTCTTTCATGTTGGTGTTCTTTTAAGACTCTACTTGGGGCCCTAAGTGACAGTTCAATTAAGATAGTTCGATCAAGTGAAGGTATCTTTTCTTAAAACTTGCATCAGTGCTGACCTTTAACCAAACATAAAATGAAGAAAATGTTCTACAGTGTCAATTATCTCTGCTGCTGAAGTAAGAGAGTACTCTGACCAGAAAATACTATAGTGCGATGCCAGAATTTGCTTTGAGCAGTGAAAGCATTGCGTACTCCTACCATACTAAGGTAGTTTCCACCATAATCCAGGATAAGAATCATCTCAACACCAAAGATTTCAGCATATGAATTTCCACTAGAGGCTAGGAGTAGTAGATGAAAGGTTAAATAAATTATATTGGATAATAAGTAAATAATCGTGCTGTCAAAGTTAAATATACATAATGTGTAAGTGATGTAACAAGCACCTACTATGTGGAAGAGAAGAAGCTTAGTGACAGAAATGTTATCCTTACAGAATTCTGAAATACTTAAAAGTGCTGCCAGGCTTCTAAGAGAATGACTAGGTCTGAAGGAGAATTGAAAATATGCATTGTTGAGAAGCCAGTAGGTGATTCTTCCCTCAGTCGGGGTCAAACCACCACACTGGCATTACTGCAGCTTAATGCCCATCCTTCATAGAAGAAACACAGGTCCCAATAAATTCTTACAAAGCGATGTATCATCATGTAACAGTAGAAGTATTAGTCCTTCCTAGACCGTACAACATAAAAGCTTAAATTCTACTCCAGCTCACCCAATAATCTGGCTTACTACAGAATCTGAGACAAGACA